GAAGTTTCAAATAATAATAATAAACAAGAATAGCTTCTGGAATAGTTTTAGTTTCATAATTTTTAAGAATATTTTTAAACGAGTAAGCCGATTAGGCTAATCTTTTAATCGTATTGTTTACAATTTATTCCATCTATTTCTCGTTTTCATTGTACAAGAAACTCGCCTTAGAAAGCCATATAAATTAAAGGGACAAGGCACAGGTCAAAAAGTGCCGATGTCGACACTTAACTCTTGCTAAGTTACAAATTAGGTAACCGTGACACGTTCTTTCAGAATTTCTCTAAACACCCGTAAAACCCACGAAAGTTTCAAGGTGTTCAAACAACGGATGGGCTCATTAAAATCGAGGCGGGTTTATGGGACACTTACTCTGGGACCTCCCACATTTTTCCTTTCTCAAAGGAAGTAAACAATTGCTTGAGTGAATGATAACGTGTAACACATTAGGCTGATTTCTTTGAAATTTCAGGGGCAAAATATTTAAAAACAATTATTAATATTATAAACGACAACCATTTTCCATTAACTCTTTTAAAATTAAATAATTGTTCAATTACTTTTTTAAAGAAATGATTACAAAATAAAATTAAAATAACTGTTAAAATAATCCATTATTCACATAATTAGTGAATGATAATGTGTATCTAACATATGCCTAATTCTTCGAAATTTGAAGGAAGAAATATTTAAGAACCATTGTCAATATTACAGATGAAAACTATTTTTCATTGATTTAAAAAAAAATTGAAATAACTGTTTATAAATTATGGATTTATTTAGTGCACAATTTAAAATAGTTAAAATGTTCACTTGAGCATATCCATTATTTATATAATTGAAATCAGATATCGATGCTGCACAAATGTTTAATAAAAACAGTACAATTATACAAATAATATATTTTCTAGAAGCTTTGCTCATTCTTCAAAGTATATCAAACATAGAGTCTGAATTGTTAAATAGAATATTTGAACCTCTGATACTTAAGATAATTTCAATTATGAAATTAAGATACATTATCCGCGTGAATTTATTAATTTCGAATTTTTTTCGAGTGTCTTGGGTTAAAATACAATTTATTAGAAAATGCTATATTTTTGATTTCGTGCGGGTGCAAGTTTTGCAAAATGTTTTCTTCGCCGCCGATTTCCGAGTAATTTGTCGTATATGCTGTGCACGATCCCTATCAAGGACTAATTCGAAAAGACAATGCCGCATTAAAGATTCATGGCCATCTATACAACGAACAGAAAATCGTGACTTACTGTTATCAACCATTAATAACCTCCGACATCGACTTAAAACAAACTATTAATTTCTGCATAATATTAGTACTTCTATTAATATCTATCATAATATTAATACTTCAGTGTTAATCATGTGTTTCGTTCTTAACTTTACGATGATTAAATTATTTTCACTGCAATCATTTCATCATAAAAATATTTATTTAATTAGAAAGAGTAGTTGCGGCAGCGAAATTTTTGAAATATAAAACTTCAGAAACCACTAAATCGCATAAAAATGTCAGAAAATACACAATTTTGAAGGAAACTTAGAAGTAGCTGAATTCGATTGATTTATCAAATTTTACGAAGCGTCAAATTACCTAAAAATAAATCGAAATCTTCCTTCGTTGTTGCTTCTGCATAAAAGTATGATTGAGCGGTTCTCTATAAGGTTTCCCACACATTCTTAATCTCTCTCCGACGAAAACGAATTTCAAACGCGTGTACAAATACAAATTGGAGAACGTAATTATTGCTCCGGGTTATATCGAATTCGTGTTCATTTCGTTGCCAATTTCAACGATTCTCCGTTCTGAAAATAAATTACGTTGCCAACTTTAGCGATTCTCTGCTGTGAAGATGAATTTCGTTGGCAATCTTAGCGATTCTCTGTCCTGAAAATGGATTCCGTCTGGAAAACTATGGAAGAAAATCACAATGAAGAGTGTGAACGGACGAAGCAGTGTAGTTTCACAATAAAGGTACTTCGTATAGTAGTTGGTGGGATTAATGTCATTCAAATGGTCGCAATAGGTCGTCCGGATGAGGTGGAACTCTCGCAATGATCCAGTAAAACGCGATTACGCAAAGTACGCTGTTCATTTGGCAGTGTACATACACTTTACTGTGTTCGGCTACTACCTTTCCTCGTGTACCTCACGAATTACGCAAGTGTCCACTCTCTGGACCAATTTAAATGTCAACGATCCAAGGTAAATTTGATTATAAAATTGAACGTTCACGGTGATTCTGAAACTTTCAATGTTGTTCCAAAACTGTCAATGACTCCTTCGAGACATATGGAGACAAATGTGTGACAGTTGATCGGCGACACAAACATGTAACTAGCAATTTGTAGAACGAGTGTAACATTGAGAACACTTACTTTACTGAAAGAATTGTAGTTTCACAGTTGTTGAAGGAATGTATAATTAACTTTAATAATTAATCGTTCCATATTTGATGAATATTAAATATTAAACATTGATTAAATGTATAAACTAATTGATTAATTTAA